GACCTTTTGCATGAAGCATATCCCAGTTACGTTATATTCACTTATTACCATATTTTCTCTAAAACTATCCCAGTTACATTATATTGACTTATTATCAAGTTTTTATAAAACCATATAGACTGCACAACGTCACAAGGCTAATACCGGCACCTGACCTCAATTAGCTGATAAAGGGTCAGTTAAGGCTGTTAGGCTAATAGAGACAGCTGGAACCAATTAAGGTCCCACTTATACTGCTTTAAAAGCTCTCCTTTCCAGGTCTCTCGAGAGGAGCCCAGGTGGAAGGAGCTGGAGAAGAGGAAGCATTACTGAACCCTGAGGTTAAGGGTGAAGCTTGGAAAAGGGGACCACGGGGAAGTGGCCCAGGGAATCAAAGCAGCGTCAGTGGAGGAGGGAAGCTGCTAACAGCTGCTATCATTAGGGTCCCTGGGCTGGAACCCGGAGTAGAGGGCAGGCCTGGGTTCCTCCCTTCCCTGCCACATGATCTACAGAGATCCCTTTGAAAGGGGAAACAGACTTTGGTCCAGGCAGGAGACCAAACGGTGCCTACGGAGCTCTAAGGAGCAACAGAGACTGTGGGTATTCCACCTTCCCACCTCCCATACCGGCCTGTGATGAAAGTAGCTCAATAAGCTGTAACCTTTGCCGCCATACTGGGAAAGGGAGGTCATATTGAGGGCCTCAGCGAGCTTCTGAGGCCACTGTATGCGCCAGGAAGCGCGGGACCCACCAATACAGGCTCGGAGCTTTGTCACACCACATATATTCTTTATTTTAACATACATTTATCACTTATTACTTTACCATTTCTTAACTTCTAAACCACTCTCAGGATGTTGCAAATCTACTTAAACTGTAACATACATAGCAAACAAGTTAAAAGCTATGAAGAGTGGGAAGCTGTGTTCTTTTATGAAGAACAATTACAGTTGTTTTTGCAAAGCCTTATTACTCTTTGAGAACAGACTTTTTATCTTAGGATGTGTTAACACAATTAGCAGTTTGGCCGTGCATGTTTCTCAGAGAGAGGGAGACACACAGAAATGAGAAAGTAAGAGGCCTATTTTGTTACCAATACCTTGGAGTTTAAGCTGTGGGGAATTCAATCTTACCCCTTGTTTCTCTTGGCCTCAGACTTGTTATACACATATACTTTATGGTTCTAATACAGAAATTCCCTGATATGGTCCAACAGCGGCCCATATAACACAGCAAGCTGCATATGTGGCCCACAATAGTAAATAGGTTGAGAACTATTGCCTCAGCCTCTCATAACACCTAATGGCAGCCCCTCTGGCTCAGACCCCAACACCACATTGCATCTCTCTGGAGGAAGGCAGCCAGAGAAACACTGATCCAGTGTGGGGGGTAGAAAAGCTGGAGATAGTGATGTTCTGCCTCTGAGAAGTTGGCAGCTAAAAATCGTAACAAGACATCATGCCCGATGGATCTACCCCACTCATCCCATGCAGAATATAGGGCCGCTTCTAAACCCTGTGAGGGCTAGCCATTGACCCACTCTTTTAAACAGCCCCAAGCTATTTGTGTTTCAGCTCTGCATCAGGTCCACTTAGAGAAGCAAAAAGAGCTACAACCTCCTGATTATAATAATAGAAATAGAGCCTTTTCTTCCACTGAGCTCCAGGAAAGAAACATCAAGAAAACTAACAAGGAGAAGTCTACCACTCTCTCAATCAGGAGATGGGGAAGATGGGGGATGGGGGACAAGGGGGAAGGATAGCTCAGTGGTTTGAGCATTGGCCTGCTAAACCCAGGGTTGTGAGTTCAATCCTTGAGGGGGCCATTTAGGGATCTGGGGCACACAAAAAAACCCACAAAACTATCAGGGACAGTACTTGGTCCTCCTAGTGAAGGCAGGGGACTGGACTTGATGACCTTTCAAGGTCCCTTCCAGTTCTATGAGATAGGTATATTGCAATGGCTACTAGACAGACTCCTGGAGGACAAGATCTTCTCCTCTGGTTTCTGCAGGCTTCTCCTCCCCAACATATCAGCTTTGCAAATGCCCATGTTATAGGACCTACTTCAAAGGCAGTATGGAGTCAGGTAGTGATAGACAATTACATCAGCAAGCAGGCGGGTGGCTCACTATGCTCTCCTGTATGCAGAAGCACTAATCTCTGGGACTGCTGTATCTGTCATGATGTTTAGCCTGTGACCCTATACTTGATTTGGCAGGGGAAAACAAACAATGTACTTGCAGATCACCTCAGCAGAAATAGCACTCAGATGCATAAATGCTCCCTAAAGGACAAGCTGGTTCAGACCAACTTCTGCAGCTGGGGTCCACCAGTTGTGGATCTGTTCACAATGAGGTCCAACAAGAAGTGTTGCCTCTTCTGTTCCAGAGTGGGCAGTGTCACTATCTCTATCAGACCCTTTCTTTCTGCACTGGGGAAGAGTTTTGATACATGCTTTTCCATGGGTCCATAAGGTAGTAAGAAAGATACACCAGAACAGGGTAAGGATGCTTCTTCTTTGAGTGCTTACTCATCCACTCCACGTTAGGTGTATGTGTGCCACATGCACCTTTGCTGGAGATTTTTCCCTCAGTGGTATCTGCTGGGCTGGCAATAGCGCCCTCTAGAGCCGCACACTCATGCACCAGTATAAGGGGTACCGCCGGCCACGCACCTCTCAGTTTCTTCTTACTGCCCGTGACAGTTGCTGAAAAAGGTTGGAATTGGAAAAGGTTCAGAAAAGGGCTACAAAAATGGAATGGCTACCATATGAGGAGCGAATAAGACTGGTACTTTTCAGCTTGGAAAAGAGACGATTAAGGGGAGATATGATAGAAGTCTATAAAATCATGACTAGTGTGGGGAAAGTAAATAAGGAAGTGCTATTTACTCCTTCTCATAACACAAGATCTAGGGGTCACCAAATGAAATTAATAGGCATCAGCTTTAAAACAAACAAAAGGAAGTACAGTATTTTTTTTCACACAACGCAGAGTCAACTTGTGGAACTCCTGGCCAGAGGATGATGTGAAGGCCAAGATTATAACAGGGTTCAAAACAGAACTAGATAAGTACATGGAGGATAGGTCCACCAATGGCTATTAGCCAGGATTGACAGGGATGGTGTCCCTAGCCTGTTTGCCAGAAGCTGGGAATGGGCGACACTTAATGATTACCTGTTCTGTTCATTCCCTCTGGGGCACCTGGTGTTGGACACTGTCGGAAGACAGGATAACTGGGCTAGATGGACCTTTGGTCTGACCTAGTATGGCCATTCTTATGTTCTTAGGACCCCTCTTGCTTTGGCAAGTCTTCCCTGTGGTTTTTGGACTCTAATTCTTTGTTGTTGTTTTAAACATAGTTATTAGTGTATGTAGCTATCGTAGTTAGAGCCGTATACAGTCGTTGTCTGTATGAAATTTTAGTTTGTACCAACTTCACTAGTGTTTTTTTATGTAGCTTGTTGTAAAACTAGGCAAATATCTAGAAGAGTTGATGTACCCCTTGGACGACCTCTGCGTACCTCTGGTTGAGAACCACTGATCTAGAGTATCCATTTGTTTAGGGAAGGGGCCCTCTGTACATTGTCAATTATAGTGTGCAGCACACCAAGTGAAGGCACATCAACAGAAAAGTGAATGGAAGTTAATTTTTGGCTTGCATAAAACAGCAAAATGTGGCATGCCAACCTTGATTTCATTGTGATACTCTGAAATCCATCTTAATGCATGTTTTATTATGCATTTTCTCTACAATGAACTATGAAAAATTGTTGTATTTGATGCCCTTCAATTCACCTCAGAATTTGTAATAGAAAATGTATAACAGCCTACATACAGTGTTCGTGTTTTACTAAGATCTTACAAGGGTATTTCCACTGCTGAACGCTCCCACCTCTACAGAAGCTGCCAAGGTAGAAAAATTCAGCTTCCGTGTTACCTTACTAGTTTCTGGTGTTTGAAAAGTGAATCATTTGCCGCTACAATATGATTGCAAACAATCTCTCTACTCTGTATTTCGCACTGGTGGGACTGCAGCCACACTACCGTGAGTAGTTCTGGTGCCCATAATTCAAGAAGGATGTTGAGAAATTGGAGAGGGTTCAGAGAAGAGGCATGAGGATGATCAAAGGATTAGAAAATATGCCATATAAGAGACTCCTATATCCATCTATTTAGTTTAAAAAGAGAAGCTAAGGGGGTAATTTGATTACAGTCTTAGTATCTACATGGGGAACAAATATTTGATAATGGGCTCTTCAGTCAAGCACAGTTATTCCAATGGCTGGAAATGAAGCTAGATACATTCAGCCTGCAAGTAAGGCATAGATTTTTGCCAGTAATGGTAATTAACCACTGGAACAATTGACCAAGGACCATGGGGGATTACCCATCACTGACAATTATTAAATGAAGATTGATTTTTCCCCCCTAAAATATATACTCTAAGAATTATTTTAGGGAAGTCCTATGGCCTATTTTATATAAAAGGTCAGACTACATGAACACAGTCATGCCTCCTGGCCTTGGTATCTATGAAATTGTTCCTTTCGGATGCCTCCAAGAACTTTAATAGCTTCATGTTGTCATATGTAGTAAGCTTACCTCTAAACTCTAATGCCAATGTTGACATTTAAATGTGGACCCAGAAAAGTGCTCACTAAAATGAATAGGCAAATTTTCATTGAATATATTAGTAAATAATTTAGAAAATCTTGGGTAAATTAAGATTTGAGTATTATGATCCAAAGTTGAGAATAGTTTTCTTGGAATCTCATGTTTACAATAAATTGAACTTTAATAGAAGTATTATGCACACTGGTTGCATACTGAGTGTTAACACAAGAGCTCTTTTCAGCTGCATGAAAAATCTTTCTCAGAGGGGAGGAGTTCTCTGGCCATCTCTGATGACACACAGTCTCCATGGCAACAAATCCATGACAACGCAACAGAGGAGGGTACTGCAGGCTGCAATTTGAGCTGTCTGCTTCAGGAATGCAGTGGTTAATGGCTGTACGGAAGAGCTAGGAAGTCAGCAAATTTTAATGACCAATTTTGATCAAGTAAAGAACACCCCTGTATGTTTTGGAATAAAATGGATAACTCTTTTGTGGAAGAAGTGGCTGCATCTTTGGTTAGAGAATTTCTCAGCAGAAAGGTAATTTTGTCTCATTTTGCTCCAGTCAATGCATGGGAGAGACCCTAGCAAAACAACAAATGAACAGCCCCCCAGTCATCTGAAAGAGATTAAGGGATGCTAGGGGAGAGGATAGAATTTTTCCAGGTTTTGGGTGGTTGTATCTAAACTGTAACAAGCTACTAGAATAAAAACAGTAGACTACATTTCCCATAAGGCATTTCTTTAATAGTAACACTTCTGAATACGGAAGTTGGGTTTTATCTAGCTAAAGAAACATGACTGTGCATATAAAAATCTGTTTTGTTGAAAATGCCCCCATCAACACTTAAAAAAGGTTATGGAATATTTCTGGGGGCTACTGGGAAGTATCTATTCTGATGCTGTCCAAATATTAGGTGTCCCAAACCTAATAGAGATCAAGCAGTCAGAATGCATGTAGGGAGCAGGGGAATACAGAGAAACAGCACAATCATGAATTACGCATTCATGATTTTATGAATGTAAAAAAATCCCATTCTAAATTTATTTAGTTTTCAAACATTCATGCAGCTCCCTCTGGAAAGTTTGAGATATTAAAGGGAAAACTGAAATCCTAATAAGGATTTATTGAAAAACTAGTTTTTCTGGAAGCCCGCTGCTCCATGTAAGGCATTATGGAGCACTCTAAATAATGTTCTTGGTGCTCATACCAAACTTAGGATCAGAAATCAAAAATCCTATTTTCAGAATCATAGAAGGGACCCTTGCACTCATGGCAGGACTATTATCTAGACCATCCCTGACAGGTGTTTGTCTAACCTGCTCTTAAAAATCTCCAATGATGGAGATTCCACAATCTCCCTAGGCAATTTATTCCAGTGCTTAACCACTCTGACAGTTAGGAAGTTTTTCCTAATGTCCAACCTAAACCTCCGTTGCGGCAATTTAAGCCCATTGCTTCTTGTCCTATCCTCAGTGGTTAAGAACATTTTTTTTCTCCCTCCTCCTTGTAACAACCTTTTATGTACTTGAAAACTGTTGTTATATCTCCTCTCAGACTTCTCTGAGTTAAGGGCCTAGTTGGTAGGGATTATAGAAAGCACCACCTTCATATATCTCTGTACTATCCACTCTTCACCTCATAATATTCTCCATCTGCACTGATGCCTATTAGAGCTATAATTTTGGTATAGGGGTTGAGATAGTTAGGATTCCAGGATCCAGGTGCTGTTCCCATCCATGGGAATTAGTTTAAAACAAGTTTTAATTCTCTATTTGCCTTATGCTATCAACTCTTTGTTTCAAAGCACAATGGAAGTTATCTGCCAGGATGACATTTTACCAAGATGTTCAGGTAAAAATACTGCATTGCTTTTTAGATTAGACGTGTACATAGAACACTTAGCGAGCCACTATTAAAATGATCAGTTTAAACTGAGCAGCGGGATGGTGGCAGAATGGGCAAATACAAGGCTTGCTTCAAGGTCCTTCACATCGAAAACCTAGAACCTGTGCCAGATTCATCTCCCGGAATTTATTCTTCCATTAAGCAAGGGACACATTACAATTGAAAAGAGGCTGCCTTTATTTCATTTCTGCCATAGTGCTTTTTGTGTGTTTATATGACTTTCTATGGAGCTACTTCATAGCTCAGAAGCATGGTGTCTGCAGCAGAGAATCATTCACTAGCAGTTTCGCCACGCATCTTTGGGACTGAAGCCAGCCACCTTAACTCCTTAAAGCAGTCTCTCAGCATAACTATCAAGTAGGAATCTCATGTCTCAAGAGAGCAACGTAATTTGTTTTGCTGGATTTTAGCTTCAACCTTCCCATTGTTTACACTAAAATTGGGATTCTTCTCCAAAGCTAGCATTTCAGTGCAATTTTGTATGGAGTCTTTCTAAAGTAGAGATTTTATACGATATTCAGATGTAGATCTAATATTTGAATCTTGTCCTGGGACTGCTGTTAATCATTTTTGTGTAACCTTTCAACTCAACCTGATTCATAAGTTCACTAAGTTTAGAAAGAGCCTTCATATAACTAAAAGTGGTGCTTTGCTTCTCTTAACTGGAGAAAAACACAAGAGTTCTGTAGAAGTGTACATTTTGAAGTTTTGGATTGGTTTTTAGCCTGCTTTAAAGTAGTTAGCCATGTTTTGAAATACACTGTTAAGGTCTCTTCAGATCAATTCCAACATTTTATGTTTGACAAAAGATAATACATTACAAAGCATATTCAAGTTATTATTTACTAATGGTCAAATACTTCCTGAAAATACTCAACAGCTTGTGCAACACAGGAGGAATATGAGGACTTCTAGACAGCCATTATCAGATGTCATGCATGCCTGATTGACCTTTGAACATACAATATAGCTTGTTTTCTACGCATATAATGAGACCTGATCAGTATTTAGACTATAAAAACATAAGCTACTGTTTCAGATACATTTTACGAATTCTCAGCATCCTCTTAAAGATTTTTATCTGCTGCCTAAATATTCTGGGAATTTATATTCACAACAGGCCCAGTTTTCACTAGTACTATCAGCAGCCCCATCAGATATTAATGAGATTCTGAAGTTCAGCACCTATGAAAAAGTCAAGCCACTGGTATACATATTTCATAACCAAGCTTTATTGATTTTTTTATATATTGTGAGCATATAGATTTTATTCCTGATGTAAAAGCACTGTAGCCATGCTTTAAGCGTCACCTTGTATAATGTAACCATTGTGTTTGCAGGCTTCCCTTGATTAATTATAAAAGAAGTTTAGATAATACAGCAATTATTATAGTTAAATTATCCAAGATAATAATAGGAAGTTTAAGCACTAGTGATGTATGTACTGTAGCATTTATAGCAAGCTTCAAATTAGGTATGACTTACTGAATAAAGATGTTGTAAACTTTAAAGTTGTACTATGTTTCCTGCAGTATTTCTAAAATTGACATTTCTTCCCTTGAGGGTTTAAAAAAGACAAGTGCCATTATGGACAGAGAATTTCCACGTACTGCACTTAGCATCAACAATAGAAATGAACTGCGAAATGTTTTGCATCTACAATCTTTGTACAAACAAAACAAGGTAAGGGAATTTTCAGTTTTGTACTTAAGTGACCAGAAGTCAGCATCACCAAGAGTTGTATATTACATGTTAAAAGCAATCTTAAAAACTTGGTCAGACAAGAATCATCATTATGGGGTTACTTTAAAGTGCAAAGAGCTGTTAGCTGGACTTACTACATGTGTCATTTCCCATTACTGGTTGTAAAGAATAGATCTGATCTACATTTTGACTTTAAGGAGGGGCTGAGGTAACAAGGTTGTGTAAGTTGCATAGCACAAGTTTAAGGGCTGGAAATGGAACACTCTTATTATAACTTCAGTCTACATAAACGTTATTTAAAGAGTAGGGAGCAGTTAATTTTCCATCAGAGATTATTCACTTTTAGCGTATCCATTTTCCAGATGAAGTTCTTTGTACACCAGAATCTAACCTACAGATAGAATGGATACTGAGCATCATCTTGAGTCAGAATTGAACAAGAATGCGACATTGCCTGGTATTACAGGCACTGTTATCAGATCATGCTTTCAAAACATTTTGTAAAACTAAGCCTTTACCACTTATGAGCATTGTAGACCATACATTTTTTTTGGCAGGGGAGGGTAAGAGTAGGTGTGCTAGCACTGCGGCCCTACCTACATTTCAGTTCAAGTAATTTTACCTACCCAAGTTTCTCCTGCATTTTTACAGGTATATCATGTTCAGCTACTTCACTTGTCCCAAAATATTGTGGTTCTGTATGTGGTAGCCTTGCTCAACTACAGATGTTGCTGGAAACAGTAAATTGTACACATGTAAATTGGTTTAGGATACTTTTGAACAATATATACCAGGGCTAGGCAACCTATGGCATTCGTGCCAAAGGCCGCACGTGAGCTGATTTTCATTCCTGGGTCCTGGCCACCGGACCGGGGGGCTCTGCATTTTAATTTAATTTTAAATGAAGCTTCTTAAACATTTTTAAAACCTTATTTACTTTACATACAACAATAGTTTAGTTATATATTATAGACTTATAGAAAGAGACCTTCTAAAAACGTTAAAATATATTACTGGCACGTGAAACCTTAAATTAGCGTGAATAAATGAACATTCAGCACACCGCTTCTGAAAGGTTGCTGACCCCTGATATATACTATGTAAAATGAGTAGCAATTACCCTGATATAACCATAGTTACTTTAGGTTTGTTTTTGCTTTTAATGCTCTGCTTTGTGTGGTTAAACAGTGTAGTTTTTTACTGGTTTTGAAGGACTTATGTTTTGTTCAATACCTTTTCCTTGTTACATTTACACAGAAGTGGTTGACACCCAATATTTCTGACTTTTTTTTAAACCAACATTTGAGAAATATAGTTCAACATGCATGATTGTATTAACTTATATCTAATTGGATAGCTAATGCTAGCTGCAGAACTTAAGAGTTTTTTGCAAGAAAAACGGAACAGAAATCAGAAGTTTGAGTTATTATTGCATGTATAATATTCTAGTTCGTTCAATCCATTATGGTCAGTTTCTCAAGAAGTAGTTTCTTACTGGAATAAACATACCACTTTAGTCATTTATTTGGATATTGTATTAAGAAATATTTTTAAATATGAAACCAAGAAAAAAGGACTGGGGAAAGAATGTTTTGTTTCACTGTCTGCCTATTCTGCTTTAAGCTTTTGACTCTTAAGAATCTTTAAGGTGTAAAATAAACTGGATCTCTGAGTACTCAACATTCCTTAATATTTTCCTGAATCATACCATTTATGAACTAACATGACTTTATATCTGCAAAACCCCTCAGTGCATCCTAAAAGACCATGAGTCAGTTTAAACTGCTGCACTGTAAAACTAAAATGTTTCTCAATCTTCTGTTTTAACTAAAGTTAACTGGAGACTTTCAATAGTTGTAAAGCAATGTATTCCCTCCTCCCCCTCTCTAGGCAAAGGAGAATCCACTGAAAACAATTCTTGAAGTTATCACCAACTATTTTCTTGAACATTTTGGGACCACCAGATGTATCACAAGTCCTGCAGCTTCAGTTCTACAAGCTAAGAGCTCACAGTCTAGGTGTATAGAAACATCATCAGTTAATGACTACTCAGATGAAGACATGCTTGGCAGAACAACAGTGTCTGATGCAAGTAAAACTGAGGTTTACAGGTATAGACCCATTTTACTTTACATGTGTATGCAGTCTAATCCCTACATTCAGAATTACAAGTATGAAGAGGTTTCAGTTTTTACATTCAGTTTTGTCATCTTTTCCTAGTTGCCTTTAGCTTGGCACACTATTAAAAGGGTACTATGATGAATGTAGGTAAATATATTCTAAATTGAGACGATCCTTTTAATTATGTGCTCCTTAAGATTTGTCTTAGGGTGCCCTCTGCTATCATATTTGGTGTTTGACAATCTATCCTACATCTTCATTCTGCTGTACAAGGGGCCCTGAGCTATTATACCAGATGTTTGAGAAGGTTCAGATATGAATGCATGCTTTTAAGTCAGTGGTGAGCAACCTGCAGCCAGCCCATCAAGGTAATCTGATTGCGGGCCACAAGACATTTTGCTGATGTTGACCGTCTGCAGGCATGTCCCCCCACAGCTCCCAGCCACAATGAGATTACCCTGATGGGCCGCAGGTTGCCCATCACTGCTTTAAGTAGTGATAAATATCTAGGCAACAAATTCTCTTATAGGTAACTAGAAATAGAATACATAGGATCAGAATCATAAAAAAGGCATGATTGTATTCATTTAACCCTACGAATTTAACAACCAAGTATTTTGAACCCCTTTCTACCCAAGTGTATATCCTGCAGGGTGGAACTTGTGCAAATCCTTTCTATGACTTACTTTTGAATATTAAAGTCCCCTTGTTGTTAAGAAGTTTATGTTTAGTTTATGCTAGATACTATACTTCAACTGAATACTTTTAGAAGCAGGTTCTTCTATTGGCTAGATCAGGGGTTGGCAACCTTTCAGAAGCAGTGTGCCGAGTCTTCAATTATTCACTCTAATTTCGCATGCCAGAAATAATTTTTAACGTTTTTAGGTCTGTTTCTAGAAGTCTATAATATATAACTAAACTATTGTTGTATGTAAAGTAAATAAGGTTTTTAAAATGTTTAAGAAGCTTCATTTAAAATTAAATTAAAATGCAGAGCCCCCCGGTCCGGTGGCCAGGACCCAGGCAGTGTGAGTGCCACTGAAAATCAGCTTGGGTGCTGCCTTTGGCACCCGTGCCCTAGGTTGCCTACCCCTGGGCTAGATCAATTGAAGTCCCAGAGCCCCCGGCAATTTAAAACATGCCTGATCCCTCACTACAATGGCTTTCAAGCGATCTGTAGCTGCTCTTTGTTCCTTTCGCGGGGTCAATGAGCAGACAGACTGAACAAACTGGATTTTTAAGTGTGTTTAAAAAAAACCAACCACCAACCCACCCAGCTGTCCTTCGGGCAGCGATGAAGCCTAACCCCAAATGAAGGACGAGCCCTACAGACAGGGCAGGTTTGCAGCAGTGAGAGAGAGAGATTTGGAAACCAAACGCTTTTATAATCTTTCACCGAATCTCCCCCCCCCGCCCCGTGTGACGGTTTGAAACAAGGCTAAACGGTCTCGCCCCGTCCCCCCCGCCGGGGAGCTGCCCCCCTGAGGGGGCTGCCAGGGCCCGCAGGGAGCCCGAGCCCTGAGGGCGCTACTGCTTTAACAAGCGGCCCCTCCCGGGCAGCCCCGGTCCCTAATATCAGCCCCTGGGAAGGGGGGGGCTCTGAGCATGTAAGAGTCAGGCCACAGTGAATCTGCCCGCCACAGCGACAGACCCCTGTCGCAGCTCGCGCCCTCCGCTCTACTTATATACCTCCGTCGCGCATGCGCAATGAAGCGTGCGGCCGTTCTTTCCCGCGCCCCCCGCGCGCAGCAGGCGGGAATGATTGACCAGCGAGCTCTCCGCTCCCGACGCAGGGCGGCCCCGATCGCGAAGAGTTTACTCTCTTTCTTCTGTCTCGGTGGGACTCTATGATCCTCACCCTCCAAAGCCAGACCGCGCTAGTGTCCGGGCTTGCGCAGTGGTTCCGTGGCGGAGGCCGGAGGGGGAGGGCAGGGAGGAGTGCCCAGCTGTTTTTAAAGAGACACACACACGTTCATCTCTCCCCTCCCCAGTGGCATATGTTGGGGTTTCAGGATGCAGCCAGGGGAGGGGTGACCCCACTGACATGCCTGGTCTCACCTCCCTTCTCTGTTGCTCCAAAGGTAGCTTGAGAAAGGTGAGTTGCCAACTCTCACAGTAGGTGGTGCTTTTTTTAAAGCCCCAGCTCCAGGAGTCAAGTGATTACCTGAGACGCTTAACTTCCTTTAAAGAAAGAGTACACTTCTAGCCACTGTGGGTGCAGAGATAAGCTTGATGACATGATCCCAGTGTATTCTGAAAGCTCAGAAACCAGAAAGCAAAGATAAAATAACACAAAATGTATTCACTTAAAAAAATAATGATGATTTTTTTTTCCTGCCAGGCTTGTGGGTTTTTTGGATCGCCTGACTCATGATTCTTGCACACTTGGGGTTGGCGATGCTGAGCATGGATGGATGTGGGGATGGAAGAAAGTAAACTGAGTGGATGTGCAATGGAGGCATACGTTGTGGGTTTGTTCTCAGCTGGTATACATCAGTGTGGCTCTATTGACTGGAATGGAGCTGTGCCGATTTACACCCACTGAGATTCTGCCCATTTGTATGTTGATCTCATTCCTACCTTCGAGTGGCCTTGGAAGGGATGTGAGGAAAGGTGGGGATTTCTCCTTCCCATCTTTAATACCCTGGGGGCTGCAGATCTCTGTCAGTGGGGACAGTGGGACACGTTTTGGCCCATGCTCTGGCAACACAAAGGGGCTGCAAAGCTGCCGTAATAAGGAATGGCATGCGGAACTGCCCATCTGGCAATGCTAAGTCCTTCCAGAATGTCAGGGCGGGAAGGAGTGTGGCTGGAGTATGCTACCTCCATTGACCCCCGTAACCAAGTCAGCCCCCAGCAGCCAGAGGAGAAATGGGCAATTACAGTGTAAAAAGCCAGTGCCTGAGATGAGTCCACATTTCAACCTTCCTGATAATTTAAAAAAAAAAAAAAAGTGAAACAGCACAGAATGAGAATTAGATTTTCTGTGCCAAGAGCTGGTTCTTTGAGCCATGATCTAATAACCATCTCTTATAAATAAGTTTACCTCTTCACGTCCTTTAGAGAGGCTTTGACAAACTCTAAAAACAGCCCCAGTATTTACACACTGGGCCAGATTTTTAGAGGTATTTAGGCACCTAAAGTTGCAGATAGATGCCTAATGGGATTTTCAAAAGCACGTAGGTGCCCATGGGGCTTAGGTGCCTTGGCACATTTGAAAATCCCACTAGGTACTTATCTGCATTATTAGGTGCCTAAATACCTTTTAAATCTGGCCCACTGTGCCCTTTGCCAGCCAAGAGTTTCATGGCCCTGAGTCACAAGTCATGGTCCCCGGCACCTCTAGAACTTCCGTGTATCCTTTCTGTATACCGTGCCCTTCCCTCTTGTACAATATTTTGGTTGCTTCTAAAAAGCAGCTGTTTAACTATTTAATTAAAAGGAATATTTTATAACACAATATTTTTTAACTTCATGGAACTTGCTGGTGAAGGATCCTAATGATGAAAATATTTAATTAGAAAAAAAGGTTAAAAGGTTAGAAATTTAAATGAACATGTTAATCACTTAATGTTTTAGCCTCTGCAGTTACATTAGCTGGGATACAAATTATATTGGTATATTTGGCCCCCGACCTGGAGCGATGGGGCACATGCATCAGGGCATAAATTGCTCACCACCTATAGTCAGGAAGTACAATCCCCCCATGATATACCAGTTACTATATACTATACTATAGATAAAAAGCAACAAAGAGTCCTGTGGCACCTTATAGACTAACAGATGTATTGGAGCATAAGCTTTCGTGGATGAATACCCACTTCGTCACCCACGAAAGCTTATGCTCCAATACATCTGTTAGTCTATAAGGTGCCACAGGACTCTTTGTTTCTTTTTACAGATCCAGACTAACACGGCTACCCCTCTGATATACACCTCTACCTCGATATAACGCTGTCCTTGGGAGCCAAAAAATCTTACCGCGTTATAGGTGAAACCGCATCATATCGAACTTGCTTTGATCCACTGGAGTGCGCAGCCCTGCCCCCCCAGAGCACTGCTTTACCGCGTTATATCCAAATTCGTGTTATATCGGGTCGCGTTATATCGAGGTAGAGGTGTACTATAGATACTATAGATACTAATACAATAGATCAGAGGTTCTCAAACTGTGGGTCAGGACCCCAAAGTGGGTCGCGACCCTGTTTTAATGGGGTTGCCAGGGCTGCCGTTAGACTTGCTGGGGTCTGGGGTTAAAGCTGAAGCCCAAGGGCTTCAAGCCCTGGGTGGTAGGACTCAGGCTTCGGCTTTGGCCCAGGGTGGCAGGGCTCAGGTTACAGGCCCCCTGCCCAGGGCTGAAGCACTGGGGCTTTGGCTCCCGACCTGGAGCGATGGGGCTCAGGCAGGCTCAGGCTTTGGTCCCTCCTCCTGGGGTCATGTAGTAATTTTTGTTGTCAGAAGGGGGTCGCAGTGCAATGAAGTTTGAGAACCCCTGCTATAGATGCATTATGGGGTTTTATACCTTCCTGTGAGTCATCTGGAACTGGCTAAAGTCAGAGGGTGAAATCCTGGGCCCAGTGAAGTCAAAAGGAGTTTTGCCAGAATTTCACCCATCGACCAGATACTAGACTAGGACCTAATCCTGCAAAGATTTATGTACGTGGGTGACTTTACAATTTGAGTGCAATCCCCGTTGACTTCCATGTGGCTACTCATACATAAAGATAAGCACCTGCATAAGTCATTGCAGGATGGGAGCCATATGGTATTCTTGCACATCCTATATTTAAATAAGGAGTCAGAGAACTTTTGGCAATGTAACATTAGCAAGACACAAAAGTCTGAGCCTCACAGAAACACATTACAAACGTAAATCATAAGAATGAAATACTTTAAAAACATCCTTAACTTTAATCCAAAATCAGTGAGTCTCAATCCAAACGAGAGACTCTTGCAAGCTTCGAAGGAATGGCAATGGTTAGGCTACTGGTTTGCTGTGACCCCTGCCTATCATGCTGACCAATTTTGCCTCATTGTTTCCTGGTATTCCCCCATCTGGCTGTGTCTGTCTTGTTTCATACTTAGATTGCAAGCTCTTTGGTGGGGCAGGGACGGTTTTTCTTCTGTGTTTATACAGCGTATAGCACATTGGGGTCTTGGTCCACGACGAGAGACTCCTAGACGTGACGATATTACAAATAGGGCTGTCAAGCAATTAAAAAAATTAATTGCGATTAATCGCACAATTAATCAAACTGTTAAACAATAATAGAATACAATTTATTTAAATATTTTTGGATGTTTTCTACATTTTCAAATATATTGATTTCAATTACAACACACAATACAAAGTGTACTGTGCTCACTTTATATTTATTTTATTACAAATATTTGCACTGTAAAAAACAAAAGAAATAGTATTTTTCAATTGCACTGTAGTGCCATCTCTTTATTATGAAAGTTGAACTTACGAATGTAGAATTATGTACAAAAAAACTGCATTCAAAAACAAAACAATGTAAAACTTTAGCGCCTACAGGTCCACTTAGTCCTACTTCTTGTTCAGCCAATCAGTCAAATAAGTTTGTTTACATTTGCAGGAGACAATGCTGCCCTCTTCTTGGTTACAATGTCATCTGAAAGTGAGAACAGGCATTCGCATGGCACTGTTGTAGTCGGCACTAAAGATTCATATATCCCTTAATGCTTCAACCACCATTCCAGAGGACATGCATCCAGTGATGAGCTGCCAAAAAATGAATAACCGGTTCCCTCCTCCTCACCCCACGAGGGGGTCGTGCCCCCCCCCCGGGACTCCTGACCCATCCAACCCCCGACATTCCTTGACACCCCCCGGGACCCCTTCCCCATCCACCCCCCTTCCCTGTCCCCTGACTGCCCACTGCCGCCCCATCCAACCCCTCCTCTCATTTCTGATGCCCCCCTGAGACCCCTGCCCCATCCAACCACCCCTTCTCTCTGTCCAAGACTGCCCCGGAACCCCTGCCTCTGACTGTCCCCCACTGCCCCATCCTACCCCTGCTCCTTCCTGACTGCTCCCCCGGGACCCCTGCCCCTATTCAATCCCCCTGCCCTCTGACCGCCCTGATCCCTATCCACCCACCCCCAAGAACTCCCCTGCCCTCTTTCAACACCCCCTCCCTGCCCCCTTACCAGGCTGGAGGCCGGGCCGGGGGCGCTGGGCCAGGCTGGGGCCGGGCCGAAGCTGCTTGTCCGGAGCCGGAGCCGCACGTCCGGGTCCAGGCCGGAGCCGCTGGGCCTGGGCCTGGGCCGAAGCTGCAGCCGGGCCGAAGCTGGCATGCTCGGCCGGGGCCGGGGCCAGAGCCGGGGCGCTCAGCTGGGCCTAGTTGGAGCCGCTGGGCCTGGGGCCAGGCCGGAGCCGCTCGGCTGGGCCTGCCTCGCCTCGCCTCCCCTCCCTGGAGGAGCCCTCCTCACACACACCCCCCGCCCCAGCTTACCTTGCCAAGCCGTTTCTGAGCCTCCCCAGTCCCAGGCTTCCCACACGAACATCTGATTCGCGGGAAGCAGGGGAGGCGGAGGAGAAGTGGGCAGCGGAGCCTTCAGGGGAGGAGTCCAGAAAGCAGAGGTGAGCTGGGGCTGGGGGTGGGGCAGCCTTTTTAGAACCAGTTGTCCCGCTCAGAACAACCGGTTCTAAACGGGCTTCTAAATTTAGCAACCGGTTCTTGCGAACCGGTGCGAACCGGCTCCAGCTCACCACTGCATGCGTCCATCATGATGATGGGTTCTGCTTGATAACGATCCAAAGCAGTGCGGACCGACGCATGCTCATTTTCATCAGCTGAGTTAGATACCAACTGCAGAAGGTTGATTTTCTTTTTTGGTGGTTCAGGTGCTGTAGTTTCCGCATCAGAGTGTTGCTCTTTTAAGACTTTGGAAAGCATGCTCCACACCTCATTCCTCTCAGATTTTGGACGGCACTTCAGATTCTTAAACCTTGGTTTGAGTGCTGTAGCTACAGGCAAGTTGCATCTTAGGCGCATTTAACATGCGCGAATTCAGCTTTGCGCGGTCGGCAAAAATGGGGAAAAAAAAGAAAAACAACAATATAAAAACTGCATTTGTAGTGCAGGCGATTCTGCCTGCCATTGAACTCAATGAGTGTTTCACTATACGGGGTTTTCGCTTTACGCGCTAACCGCGGAACGGAACCCCTGCGTAAGATGAGACTTGCCTGTATCTTTAGAAATCTCCCATTGGTACCTTCTTTGCGTTTTGTCAAATCTGCAGTGAAAGCGTTCTTAAAATGAACAACATGTGCTGGGTCATCATCCGAGACTGCTATAACATGAAATATATGGCAGAATGTAGGAAAACAGCAGGAGACACATAATTCTCCCACGAGGTGTTCAGTCATTAATAAATAATTAATGCATTATTTTTTTAACAAGCATCATCAGCATGGAAGCATGTCCTCTGGAATGGTGGCTGAAGCAAGAAGGGGCATACGAATGTTTAGCATATCTGGCACGTGAACACCTTGCAATGCTGGCGAATGCTTGTTCTCACTTTCAGGTGACACTGTAAATAAGAAATGGGCAGCATTATCTCCTGTAAATGTAAATAAACATGTTTGTCTTAGCGATTGTCTGAACAAAAAGTAGGACTGAGTGGACTTGTAGGCTCTAAAGTTTTACATTGTTTTGTTTTTGAGTGCAGTTATGTAACAAAAAAAATCTACATTTGTAAGTTGCACTTTCATGATAAAGAGATCACACTACAGTACTTATATGAGATTAATTGAAAAATACTATTTCTTTTGTTTATCATTTTAAAAGTGCAAATATTTGTAATCAAAAATAATAATGCAAAGTGAGCACTGTACACTTTGTATTCTGTGTTGTAATTGAAATCAATATATTTAAAAATGTAGAATAACATCCAAAAATATTTAATACATTTCAATTGGTATTCTACTGTTTAACAGTGTGATTAAAACTGTGATTAATTTTTTTGAATTAATCGCGTAAATTAACTGTGATTAATTGACAGCCCTAATTACAAATAAGAAATGCTAATAAATTAATTCTCATTGAAGACAGCTAATGGTTTAAAAGCTATTTAGGATTTTATACATGCTTTCTCTATTAGGAAATGGTATGTAGCACATTAAGATATCATAAGATTAAAATAATGATTTATTTAATTTATAATTCAATCCAGAAAAAGTGCAGGATTAAAAACTGAAGAGCTGTATGTAGACATTTTAAGTGATGATTATATATCATAGTCATATATAATTGCTAGATAATTCACAAGTAACTCAACCACGTTATTATTGTAATTTTTTATTGGTAGTATTTGTGTATAATTTCATTTTAAATACGTTTCTTCCCTGATAGATATGACATTGATGTTCCACTAGATAAAGTCATTCCATCGAAGAGACATCAACATAAAAGTGAGAAATCCAAGACTGTGGTAGTACCCAATAGTGGTTCATCCTCTGAAGGAGATAAAAAGTCAAAAAATAGCAGAGATGATTTGAAAATAACAGAAACTTCTGAGGAGATGAAGACCACAATGAGAGAGAAGCAAAGGTCCAGGTCTGGTCTCATTGTCAGAGGAATGATGGCTGGACCCACTGCAAGTTCACAAGAGGTGCTTTCCTGTACTTCTAGAGAGATTAAATAGAGGGTTAGAGTTATAGATTTCTACATTATATTTGCTAGTAAAGACATCTGAATATAACATGCAGATTGTTTTTGTATATTAAATCGCTATATTTAGAGTTTGTAGTAGAGCAGTAATTTAAGGAAGAAATTGTAGTTAGTAATTTAAGAAAATCTTTTAGATGATTTAGAACCATCAGTGATCATCACATTGTGTAATAACTAATCTATGCAACTCTCTGATCTTTGATTACACTATGTATAGTTATTGTTTATTTTCCATTCTCATTACCTTTTATTTCTTTAAGACTGGAATTTTCAAAGGTACCTAAGGGAGTTAGGCACTCAAATCCCAGTGAATTTCTTTAGAAACCCCAGCCTAAATCAACAACAGTTCTGGGTTCCAGCAATTAAACTTCAACTAACATTCTCATGTGTTTTGTACTGTACTCTTTCAATGAGTATTCTGGAAAACACCAAGATTCATGTTTTTGGTTTTTCTCCCTATTCTGTTTTTTTTATGTCAACGGGAGTTTTGCCTGAGTAAAGAGTGCAAAGTTGGACCCATGATCATTAGCAATGGAAAAATCTCTCATGATCAGTTTGAATAATTTCTGAGATGCACATAAAAGTTTGTGTGTGTATCTGAACTTGTCTAAACCACTTTGGTCTGGAAATAGGACTGGATACTTTCCTGTACTTCCTGATTTCATCTGAACCGGGTAAAACCTCAACAACAAGGTTTCGTGAGCTATTTCATTTCTGATCCTGGATGAAAAGAAGGAGTGCCTGAAAATGCACAACAATTAAGAGACCAAAAAAGTTGATCCTTATTATTATTAATAATAATATTTATGTATTTATTTATTTATTTTTACGTTGTAGCACCAAGCAGTCCTATTCATGGGCCAGGTGGACCCCACCCCAAGTGACTTACTATATAGTTCTGGCTTGATACTGTCCAAATTTTGGGTGAAGATGCAAGTCAGTTCTTACTATTATTTTCCAAACAGGCTCTCCCCCATCCCTAATAACAGAATAAACTGCATATCCCAGTAGTTAGACTAGTAGGGCCTTCTGCTTTCTTGTGTGTTTGTTTAAAAAGGCTGAACATTTAATCTGGTATGTTCTTTATTGACAACTTATCCTAGGATTCAGTAAAAAGGAGGCTTCTGAAACGATCCTCTGGCATAAATAGCATAATGCAATTCAATGAGGAAGATCATCAGAAAAATTCTTCAGTGGTGCCAACTAGTGATTTTCAAGAGATTAAAGGAACTTCCACAGAGTCCATGAGTTACCTTTCATCACATAATACCAGTAGTCTGAAAGTAGATATGGAATTTTCATCAAAGATTTCATCAAACTCATATACAACTTCAGTCAGTGAGAAGCTAAGACATACGTCCAAAGACACAGCTGATCCACTTGCCAAACTCTTATCAGAAAGAGAAAGAACCAAAGTTGAAGAAAGGAAATCAATGGCAAGCTTTGATATAGACACCAGTGAAAAAAACCTCAGATTAAGTGTTCTTCACAGACATTCAGAAGCTGGAAGAGAAAAGAGAGAAAGATCTCCCAAAAACAATGAGAATCGGTTATCAGGCCGCAGGTAAGATTGTTGGGTATCTTTCAAGAATATCTGTAAAACTACTGTACTGAAGAGTTCAGGAAGTGTAGTTAACTAATATTGATTTGTGCAGGAAGCCTAGATATGATTTCCATTTAGCTCAGAGGCACAAAAGGAGGTGCTCAACAAAGAGCCCTCTTATGCATTAAGAACTAGCACTGATGAGCTTCAGATTGTGTGAAGAAGGTGAATAAGGAAGTATAATTTATCTCTTCACATAACCTAAGAACCAGGGCTCACTCAATCAAATTAACAGGCAGCAGATTTAAAACAAACAAAAGGAAGTATTTCTTCACATAACACGCAGTCAACCTGTGGAACTCATTGCCATGGGATGTTGTGAAGACCATAAGTAACTGGGTTCAAAAAAGAATTAGATAAGTTCATGGAGGACAGCTCGATCAATGGCTATTAGCCTCTGTTTGCCCGATGCTGGACTGGACAACAGGGGACGGGTCACTTGATAATTGCCCTGTTCTGTTCATTCCCTTTGAAGCATCTGGCACTGGCCACCATCAGAAGACAGAATACTGGGTTAGATGGACCATTGCTCTGACTCAGTATGGCTGTTCTTGTGTTTTTATGAACTGAGTCCTGTTGCATCTGAGAAGTATGAGAATATGGCCTCCGGGTGCTCATGTAAAATGAGGGAATATAGAAGGTGATCCTCAAGTCTGTAAGAGGGAGAGAGAGCTTCCTTAACCCCATGATCCCAAAAATATATTGATGGCTTTCCCTCTCCTTCCACCCTTATATGTCACTATCTTCACATGGATTATAAACTCTTCAGTGCAGGATCTGAGGTATTTTTTATATAGGAGCTTTGTACAGCTCCTAGCACATTGGGAACCTGATGCTGATCCATGTTCCAGGGCACTAATGTGAAATAAATGCACATTGTCTGAATGGGGCTGTGATCTTGATTAGACCTTGAAATAATGCAGGGCAATAGTGCATCAGGTTTAAGCAGGCTGATTTGTGAACATAGGATGCTCTATATCTGAACAGCAGAAGAGGAAAATGCTGGAGACAGTGTTGTTTTCTTCCCTTTCAAGTGATGCTAGGACAGGTTGTATTTAAGAGTTATCTTGCCTGAAGTTAGAATGAAGTTGTCGGTACTTGGCTAAAAAATTCTAATTTCTAATGGGCTTCATTGGCCCATTGCTTATAGCAGTCTATAATTAGGTGCATAAATAAGTGGTATTTCAGTCAATAGAAATTGAGTGTGGTCAACACCTCTTAAAATTAGGAGACTTGGGTAGGTGTCTTATTGTGGGTATAGAAGAGTAGCATTAGGCACCTGGTTTGAAAATCTTAGACTGAATGTAATACTACTGGTTATTATAAGAGTAGATTGATTTAAAAACAAAACATTGAGGATGACCTGATCGCTATTCCAAACTGCAAACTTAAATTCTTTCTTTTGGTTTATTGGGCTTCTATACTTAAGTTCTGCGTCCTAATGAGCACAGGACACTGTTGACATCCATGGTAGTATGCTAGGTCCCTCCACCTTTCTTTTCCGTGGACTGGAGGAAGCAGTGAACAAGGGACTCATTGAAGCTGCATGGAGACCAGCGTGGCACTTTCCTCTTCTTAGGAGCCAAAAAACATTTGCAGAGGCCTCTGGCTTTCCTCCCCTTTCCTCTTCCTTCACCTGCATGACACAGTTATTTGTTCATGTTAGCAGATTTCATCTGAGTGATGTGGATTGCTGAACAACCTGTCAGAACACCGACTTCAAGGTCCCAGCATCCCAAGAGATTTACAGTAGATGGTTTTAAAAAAAAAAAAAGCCTTTATGTCATGAGTAAGAAAAAATAAGTGTTCTACACTAACAGAAAGAATTGCTTTAGGGAACACAGGGTGATAAGAGTGAGTATGTTCCCAATATTGATGAAATAATAAGAGTATAGCAGATTATGTATCACTGCCCTGCACTGTAGCAAAGGGCTGGCTAAAACCCAGTAGGAGGTTTTGTTCAAACAACAAAGCAGTTGTAATACTTCCACGCAGCTGCTGCTGGGCCTTGTGGCATCTACCATGCTAAATCAGCACCTGTGGGACAGAGATGAAAAGCAGTAGCTGTGCTGAAAGGAACTGACACCCCATGCACAATCCTGCACAATGTATGTATGTCCCTGTGAGTTAAAACAGCTTTGATTCCTCTGATGGAATGAGCGGGTTTCTGAAAGAACAGTAGAGGGAGCTGTTTCATAAACAGTCTGTTTAATTATTGCATTGGTATTAGTATCGTAACTGACATAGGGCTCACAGGCTCTTGCATGGTGCTGAGAATTCTGGCCAAACCACAAAGTGCGTAAATACTTTGAGCACATGAGTATTCTCTTTGAAGTCAGGGGGACTGCTCCTGTGCTTAAAATTAACCATATGCTTAAGTGCTTTGCCAGATTTGGGCAGAGAGTTTAGCACTGCAATTGTCAACTCTTTTAGGTAGGGATTGTTTTTTGGTTCTGTGTTTGTACAGTGCCAAGCATGACTGGGTCCCGGTCCCGAAGTAGGGCTCCTAGGTGCTAGAATAATTCAAATAATAAATAATAACTTTGCAGGATCTAGCTCAGAAAGTGTAACAGTCACTATTTATTTGGAGCCAAAGTCCCCTCTCTGTAACTCTCACTTCAGTGTTAATGATGACAGAATTTGACCCTTCTCGATTAATATTTGAAATGGAGTTTAGGACTGATTGCAGCTGGTTCACCCGCAGGGTTTTGTAATCTTTTCCTTTTTTCCCTTAGCAAAGTAAAGACATTCCAGTCTTATTTTTCATTCCTGTTTTCTTTGCCTTTTTCTGGCTTGCCAGTTGCAAAGGTTCTGATTGTTATTCACCACCCCAGGCACCTTTTGTCTATAGATGCACTCGGCAAAAAGAGAGAAGGCAAAACCACAGCACTGCATCAAAGGACTATCTGAATATCAATGAATAACGGCTGCTGACAGAGCAGAGAAAAATAACTGTTCATAAAAATCTACTGGAGAAATGTGGATTCCTCAATATTTGGGCTCCCACACTTAAGTAAAAGGGAAGGGTGAACACCGTGCTGTGTTAGCTGTTTTGTGAGTCATTAGATCATTGATTAGTCTTAGACAAGGCAAGAATTGGGGGGCACAGGAGGGTATCTGTTAACTAACTTCAGTTTAATAATGATAATACTGATCTCTTACACTTTTTATCAGGAGATTTCAAAGCAATTACAAAGCAGATCAATATCATTTCCCCTTTTCAGATGGAGAAACTGATGCACAAAGAGGTGATGTGACTTTCCCAAGGTCCCCAAGCAGGCCTGTGGCAGAGCTGGGAATCAGAGGCAGATTTGGGGTTTGTGGGGCCCTGGGCCAGAGCAAATGATGGCCCCTCCCCACTCCTTTCACCTGCAGTCCCCCCCGCCCCCACCTGGTGCTCCTGCTGGGGAAATGAGGTCAGGGTGGGAGAGTTTGCCCCACCCCGCCTCCCCTCCCGGCACTCATGCCGGGGAGCTTGGTCAGGGCACAGGGGCTTCCCCTGCCCACCTGGCGCTCCTGCTGGGGAGCAGGATCGGGGTATGGGGGCTTGCCCTACCCCACCTGCCCAGCACTCCTGCCGGTCAGGGCATGGGGACTTCCCCCGCTCCCTGGTAGGAGTGCCAAACGGGCAGAGCGGGTTGGGGCATGGGGGTGCCCATTTTTCCAGAGGCCTCCAAATTGGCCGAGGCCCCTGGGCACAGGCCCAATTGGCTCAGTGGCTAAATCCTCCACTGCTGGGAATAGAACCCAGGTATCCTAAATCCCAATCTAGTGCTCAATTGACTAGTTTAGACTAATATATTTATTTTTTGTACAGTATTAAAAATATAAACTCAAAACTAGTCCCCTATATTCAACGGTCTGTACTGAGGCCAACATTGCATTAGCTTTGTTGGGAGTTTGTCCTGAATAAGAACTGCAGGATTATAATCTTATTTTTATAGGCATATTTTAGCTAGGTAGACAAACCGAGAAGACATTTGGATTTCTCTTACAACCAAAATGAAATGCTCAGCCATTTTGGATTTACATATAAGAGGAATGATGAACTGACTATGAATGGAATCCTTCCAGAAATGATCAGCTGTAGTAATACAATTATTCTCCAAATATACTTAAAAAAGCAAACTTAGTTGCTATTGTTTCTTATTAAGTAGTTTTTCATAAAATAGCTGACTGAATTTATGAAAATCAATTTGAAACAAAGAATATGGATGTAGCTTGTGGTATTTATCGGTTTATTTAAAGGACACCATTAGGGATCTCTGGATTAATATCTGATTTATTTACCTTAACAGATGTTCTCCATTTTCTAGGTCTGACAAAGATTCCAAACATCCACCATTAATAAGTCAACATTTAACTACATTTACTACACTACCACTGGTAATTGTGGTAAAATGTTGACTTCTTAATGGAGACCTCTCTATTTTTCAATACACTTCTGACTTACCATGCATCCCTTTGTAGCTATATTGTGTCTACTGCCATGTAATAACTTTTAAAACATCCCTTTAGTCACAGAAGTTAGAGATGGAAAAAATATCTAACTTACATAGTGCCTATCACTGTGGTGTCTTAGTGCTTCTACACAAAATTAAGGAGTGCAAATGAGAAGAACAAAGGTGTTATTTTCTCTGTGTTCCTCAAGAGTTAGATCTTGTCAGGGTCATATGGTCTTTTCCACGCCACTGCAAATTTGTTCCAAAATAGTGTTACATGCTTTCAAGTGCTTTATACAATTTGTGCATTCACTCGTGGTAATTTCATGCACAAAATGCATGCCTTTACTTTGAAATTCTGTCCCTCACTTTTTAATATAACCCTACAAAAGAGGAGAAATCATAGATAGGTGGCAGCAAATCTGCATAAATCCTGAGTTATAAATAATTGACAACAAATCTAATTCCCTAACTCATCCTTTTCTAGCTATGTATTAAACCATATAGGATATATGTCCC